GATTCGTCTTTCGACTTGGCCAACATTTTGCGCGACCTCGACCTGCCCTGCTGCCTCTTTTCCTGCCCTGCGCCTGGGTACGTGGGTTCAATGTGCTTGTTGCTTGTGCAAGGCCAGCACATCTTCGCAATCGCAATCGTTAATCGCAATCGTTTCGACGTTGCTTGTTTGCCGAGCTGAGGAGGGGGGATGCGACTGAGATGTATGCGCGTTTTTTCTGAGAAGGGCAAAGCCGCAGGAGAGGAGGGAGAGAAGAGTTTGGGGATGAGTGTGGAAGAGATGTGTTGATGCGTTTAGAGTACAGAAGTGTCGATCGAGGTCGAGTGAGGGCTATGGAGCGGGGCCTGCCCGATGAGTAATGGACCGTTGGGGTGTCCGTTGGTAGAGGAGGGTGGGGATGATGTAGAAGCGAGGGAAAACGTTGAGGGATGCGAGGACTCACCGGATGGAAGTGGATCAAGAATCAACGCGTGTCTATATACCTACACAGCATCGGCCACCGAGTAGCATCATCAGCATCAGCATCTGCCTCGACCTTCGATGGAGGGATTGCGCGATTCAGAGGGGCCCCTCGAAGCAGACGAACATCAGCCATGTGGTCGTCTTGATGGCCAAACAAAAACAAGAGGGGGGAGAAGCATGGCTGGTTGCACGCACGCTAGCACGCTAGCTGCATGGTCGCATGATGCATGAAACGGACGTCACCGGCCGCGGACCGCGTGCCAGTTAATATGCAACGTATGCGACATCAGCCCTAGCAGCAAACAGACAAGCAGCCTTCATGCGCCCGGGCGGGACTGTACGGACCGGCGGACGTTGGGCGGATCTGATGCTTGCTTGCTTGCTTGCTTGCATGCGCGCGTAGCTTAGCGTCTCGCGTACCGGCCATATATGCGCATGATCGACCGCTCAATCGGCCGAAAAGAGACATACCGTACTACTGTAGCAGCGGTATCCTGTACATGCATGCATACGTAGGCGCATTCACAGATCGATGCAGCATCAATCGTGAGCTCGGTCTGTATGCACTCAATCACGATTGCAAGTAAGGTACGCTTTCGACAACAATTTTATCGGCGAGCAGGCGAGTGAGTAGAGAAGAGGTGCATCGTCGACTCACTCTAGCCGACGCACTCGTCGGCCGGCGGGGCAGAGTCCAACGACGCGCCTGCTAGATGCATGTATGCATGCAAGCTGCAGCTGGGCGCTGATCGGCGTCGCAACACAGCCTAGGGTCCTGATGCTTCGCTTGATCCTACAATACAATTCACGACAGTAAAGTCACGGGTCGTGATCACTATTGTATGTCAAGAGTTGGCGACCATGCACATCGCATGTTCAAACATGGTGTCGTACTCTTGATCCTGACCAGAACACGTTCTTCATACATGCGGCACCCGCCCGCAGAGAATCCCGATGGTGCTCAGCAGCAGCCAAAGAACCCTGGTCGACATGCAGCAGCAGCAGCAACAGCAGCATTGACGAGTCGAAAGTCGAATCAATCGTATTCGAGATGGCTTTGGCAGACTACCATCAGAGTCCCCATTGTGCGGGGGGGCGCCCCACGTCGTGTCCCACTCTGCCTTTGCCTTGCGGAAAGTCACCTTTTGATCGGTGCGCGATGAATGTCTCAGCGTGCGAGATGAGCAACGAAGTGCACCGCATGCGTGGACAGGCGGCCCTAGCTTCGGCAAAACCTTGGACGCATTCTCGCTTGACCACGCGGTATCCTCAATCGCAGCCAAGCAGTGTCGGACCACGACGTGCAAGAACAAACAGCCGAGACGCCTCAAACTTGAGTGCGGGGGAAAAAAGAGGCAGGAAGAATAGTCGACGAGGTATGGCATGAATCAAGCATCATGATTGCAGTATCGCCAAACCCAGCTGTGAGGGTTGGGCGGGCAGTTCAAGACACCAGTCCTTGCAGTATAGCCCTGCGCCTTTGAGACACGTGGCAAGCACATTCTAGCCCTACAGCACTCACCAAAGCTCTTCATGCTACTTGTGAGTCGTCGTCGTCGTCGTCGTCGTCGTCGTCGCATAGCAAGACGCAAGCGGGGAGCATCAGCCAACCACGAACCTGCTCTGACGTTTGACTCACCTGGTC